TCCTTGTATACACGTCCATAACGAGCCATCCATTGCTCGTRGCTCTCATAGCTTGAAGTTTGAGGGTGCAATCGGGATGCGGTGTGTGAAAGCAAAGTAGCTGAGAAGAAGAGTAAAACCAAACAGGCCAGGGAAGTTCTGTTTGCTGATGACATGGTGTTGCTAGGTATAAGAATCAGGGAAGTGAGGTGGAGTGAACTCTCAACCCAGAATTCTGCTTTATATAGATGGAAAGAGTTTCGTCCTTGTATGCAAAATTAATTAGATTATTCCACTTCAATTTCGTGGAAGATAAGATGTTCCGGTTTGGGTATATTAATTAATATACGCTAAGGACGTGTTGTATATGTTGTAGCCTTTATTTTTATTATATAATAAAAATATCTTATATATGAATTAAATATTTTAGTTCTGAATTTCTATTTAAAAAAAAAAAAGTCAAGTGAGACCCATTTATGAAACAGAAGTGTTTCATGATTGTGGGATGGTGTTTATGAAATGAATACATTTAAGAAGTGCTGATGTGGCATAACAGAAACATGATCTGCCAGTTTTATGAGAAAACAAAATGTTCTATGTGTTTGGATGCCCTGCTGAATTGCAGAACTGTGGTGAACTCATTTGCTCTGTTAATGATAAGCATAGACTGGTAATATAACAGCTTTACAAACATTACATGACCATTATTTTAAATTTTACCTGTGTCCTATATATCTGATAACTCTGAGGTATATTTATCATTTATGGCCTTTCTGTTTATTTTTATTTTTGGTTTGATTTTACATGTTTGTTTAGAAGTGTGGTTGGTGATTTGGCGGTTTGAAGTATTTGACACACACTAGGCCAGTAGGCCTGATATCTCAATTTCCGTTTGAATGGTGTCTCAAACTCTTAACCCAGAGGCTGGCTAGATTTATATTGGAAATGGTTTCGTCAGTATGTGGAAAATAATTTATAGAAGATGCCATGTTCTTATTTGGGTATATTAATAATATGAACTGATAATGTATTGTATATGTTTTTTTTGGTTGATAATATCAATCTAAGTTACTTGGACTTTCCATTTGGACTGTATTGCTGTATTCATCTGTTTTTCTAACGTATACTAGGATAGATTTAAGTATGTAACAACTTTATGAAATATATTTTGGCCATTATTTTCAAAATTGCTCTTGTCCTATATCCAAGGACTTCTCCAAGGGTCTGATACAGTTGTGTGTTATTGGTAAGCTTTTTTTGTGTAGGCTTGTTAATTGTTCTAAATGCAATTATTTTGATTGGGTTTTGCTTGTGGCTAACTGTTGATCTTAGCTTAGCTATGCTTCCATTTTTATTTGTACGTGACATTATGCATGCTAACTGACAGTGGACGGCTTCCTCTACTGCATGTTGGCTTGTCTAATTTAAACCACAGTAACCGACTGCATCTGGAATCAGTGTCAACTTTTGAAGGAAGAAACAACAAGCAGTCAAGGAGTCACTGACCATTTTAATTGGGTATGTGGGCGGAGGTAATTGAAGGTATAGCTGATTTAGCTCGGGAAAAATTAAAGAGGAATCAATTTCTCCTCCAAGAGTCGGTGAAAAAAAGGGGAGATCCAATCAATTTATCCTCCAAGACATGTTAAGAAGAACCAAGAGTTTGGGAGGGCATAAGGAAGGTTGAGCTATTTCAGGGAGGAGTGCCATAAAGGAATAACCTTCAGTAGTTCATTCCAATTATTAGATTGGGAATTTCTTTGAACTATGGTTTTGCCACAAAGCCCAAAACAAAGATTTCCGTTTGAAATGGATGTAGCGATTCAAAATTGGTTCATTGACATGACTAACCTTAATACAGTAGCAAAGTCTTGAGAGAAACTTCCTTCCAACTAGATGGTGAGCCTGATACCTTAATTTGCTAACATTGCATGAAACTTATAAAAGGTAAATCTGCAGGAAAGTCCAAGACTGCATGCATTTTGGTGCATGGAACATTATCTATCACCAATATCTGCAAGTGTACATGCATTCTTTCAGTACAGACGAGGTTCAGTTTTGGATCTTATGAAGTTGGTTGGCCTTCTGTTTACTTCTTTCATGATGGGTCACTCTTTTCTATGTCAGCATTCTTACAGTTTTGACTTTTTGATAACAACTTTATCATGGTGAAAATTACTCAAGTGGAAGTGGTGACCTCAGAGCAAACCTGAATTATTCATTCGAGTATTCCATGAAAATAAATGCAAAAGATATATTTGACGTGATGCCCACTGCATTATTCTTGCTACTGGTTTAACATTTTGTAAATCTGATAAACGGACTCTCAGGAAATCTCTCAAATGTTTTGACCATGACAGACGGTTATGTATTTGTTTAATGTGTATGCACATTTTTTATTTCATTGCACCCATGTTAATGTTTGATTGAATATTATACTCTTTGTTATTTTAATTATTCTTTTTGGTTGGTATAGCAGGTGTGAACAGTATTGCCTCCACGCAGGTTTCTCCAGGGATGGAGAGTAACTCATATGATTTAGACGGTTGCAGCTCATCACCTGGGAAGCCATGTCCAAAAGGTATATAATACCCGTCAGATGTGTGTGTGTGTGTGTGTATATATATATTAAGTTTGGGTTAGTTTCGGAAGTTGACCAAACTTGAGGGGTTAGTTCTGCATAACTCGCTTTAATTTTGCAATTTAGATGATGGGCTTGGGCTTTTGTATATTAGGGTTTAATTAGGGTTTTTTTTTTTCCTTATATTTAAACCTAACCCTAATTTTTTTTAACCTAATCCTCCTCCCTAACCCTAATTCCTCCTCCCTAACCCTAATTCCTCTAATTGTGATAATCGTTAGAAAGAAACCCTAAGAGCTTGGAAGAGTCCATTAGTAACCTATAAGGGAACCCGACGGCCAAAAGCAAGCAAGGTTCCATCGATTTCTTGTCGGTTTGAGGTAAGTTTTTGTCCCTTTCTCGAATCTATACATTTAGTAGTTAGGTTATAAATTTTGGGATTGTTTAAGTAAGATTTGAGTTGTTCCGGTGACTCGAAAGTCACCGATTCGGTCAATAATAATGGCAGCAATTAGGGTTTGTCAAAATCGTCTTTAAAACCCCAAAATTCTTCTCTTTTTCTCTCGAATTTAATCCTATATGTGCTTAATGTGGTTTGCATAGTATGGATATATATATATATATATGTATATATATATATATTGATAGGATTTAGTTGAGTTTAGTTACTTTATTAGTCGTTAAGGGATTTAGTTTCGTTTTGCCATTAAGTTATCAATTAGGATTAATAGTAAGTTTGGGTGTTTGTTTAGGGCAAATATAAAGGAATAAACTTGGGGAATCGATAATTTTTTGTGAAGTTTAAGGTACGGATTCCTAAACCTTTTTGTTCAGTTAGCTCGTTTA